TCCGCGAGGCTTTTGCATGTCAGTCAATTTTGCCAAAGTTATTTATCAAAAACATGGAAGCTACAGACTACTATGGTTGCAATAAAAGTGATTTTGGCAACACCGCAAGTAAAAACTACAATCCATTTGGTTGCAATGTTTAAGATTAAGATTTAGAGATCCTTTATTCGTCCCACGGTGGGGAAATTTCAGTATTGCATCACCAGTTACAGAACAGTAAGATTGAGGAGCACACAGGGCTCGATAAGTGAACACTAACGCTGTACTTTTAAACATAAAAATAAATCTCTAACTTTAGCAGAATAAAGAAGCAAGTACAAAATACTGTATATTCTATTTGTATATGTCTGTACATGTCAGCAGCATGAGGGTTTGGGCTAAAGTGGCAACGTCATGTCATAAGTGTGTTTCCTATCAATCTATTTTTTCTATGACTCAGCAGATCATCAAATCTTATGCTGTGAAAGATAGCCTATATAATGCCAAAGAAACACATATTAATAAGGTCATTCCACATAATTTTCTGAAGCAAGCAGGACATGGCCCTCGAACAGAAGTACGAGTCAGGTCGGTGGTGATGCAAACACATGTATGTATTTGATAGGGGCAGTGCAAATAAATCAACATAATTATATACATACAAAGGAAATATGTGATAATTTTTATTAGTAGCACTATTGTTATTGTGTGTGTGTGTGTTTTTTTTTAAAGTTGAAAAACATTTTACAAATCTGGTTAGAAATTGCTGCATGGCATGTTTAATTTTTCATTTTTGAGTACGAAAAGATCTTGACTGAAGATCTTGCCTGATATTGCAACCATAGATGGCACATATCAGAGGTAAGAAGGTAGAGCTACCTTCTTACATTGGACACCCGTGTCTTACTCCATGACACTGGAGGAGGGTCTGAGCTACAGACATATCAAAATCCTACAGACATAGGCTTTAAATACCTGTGAATACTTTATTTAGATGTGAAGAGTAATCTAAGGGGTTTAAAATGAGCTATTGTACAACATTCTACAATTAACAATAAGTAAATTATGAGGCTCTGTTAGTAGATATACAAGATTGTTTTCCTTTCCTTTAGTGACATCATATGTGCCCAGAAACATGCCCATAACTCAAAAAATATTTATCCCAGGTACAATGTTTTGAGGGAGGGTTACTCTAGAGACTTGAATGATCAAATATTTGTTTCTATGTTTGGGGGAAAAATTTACAGTTATGAAAATGACCTCTTTCTGGGATGGTTTGCTTCATCCATGTTTTCACTCGGAAGGGACTGGAGGCTGATGATGTCACGTGACAGGAAGCATCAGGAAACATGATTTTTTAAACCTATAACTTTGTCTAAGTTGTTTACTAGTATAAAAGTGGAAAAACCTGCATTAATACCTTTGATTTTTTGGGTATTTCTGTGGGTAGAAAATTACAATGATAAACTTGGTGGGGCCAAATGGGTTAAGCTTGCAATGTTACTACTTGTTTTGCTTCCTTCAAACGTCACGAAGCGTAAATCACACGGACAGCTTTGATCATTACAAACTTTAGTGTAACATCTTGTATGACATCATTCTTCCAGACAGAAGTCGTAATGTCCACACCAGGATTACAACACATCTAGTTCAACCTGCCTCCCTCTCGGCTTTTTATCGTCTCAGCACAAAGTAAATATTTGTGATTCATAAAGTCTATTCTGATTCTTTGAAAGTGTGTCCAATCTTCACCATCCAAGGTAAAAGCACAGAACAGAGTGGAGCCCTCTGTACTTGGATAAAGATTTATGGCTCACTGGCTTTGAAGAAGATGCATATCCCAAATGTCAGGCCGCCGTGTGCGCAGTAAATTGTGAGCACCGTCTGCTGTCTGAAGATAATTTCAACTGCTTTGTCATGGAAATCTTTGATGTACATTCAAAGACACATGTTTAAATGTGTCCGAAGGATATATCCAAACCACTTACCGTTTTGTCTCCATTTAAGAAATCCATACACATACAAAGGCTAACAAAAAAGAGAATGAACCTCACTTATTGAATGGAACACTAATGGACCAATACGTTTTCTGTTTTATTTCTTGTGTTTGAACTCTTTGATTATCTGATCTGTGTTGGCGGAAAAAAAAAAGTTCACATCTTCCTCCGAGATAACTAGTGTTGTGATTTCGGGCTATACAAGAATACATTGAATGGAAGTTGGATGTTTTCCTGCATTGATTGGCATTCCTTGTGATTCCGCAGAGGACCTGTGGCTATAGTGGTTTGTCACCATTTCGTGTGGAGAGAATGAATACAGACAACATTGCAAAACAACATTCTAATCTAAAATATATTAAATAAAATATCTTCTCAATTGCACAGGTTCCTATAGTTTTTGAATCTTTTCCCCTCTGATGCAGGAGGATCTTGGGGAATTAATCATCCAGGACATTGTGAATTGTCTTTGTTTATGTTTATTTATTGAGTAATATATTTGATTTCCCCTAAGTCAGAGATGTCCTTGCTGCCCTAGTGGTTTCTTTATACTTACTATGCTGACAATTTTATTTTCTGACCTTGTGATATCAGGATGTTTTGGCAGAATTTCAAACCGTATTTTGACTTGAAGACAAATTATCGGTTTGATAACTTAATGTGTAGGCTGAGTGGTGCCTGCGGAGACGCTGTTTCTGCTGTCATATTATATGGGAACAGATCTCACAATGATGTGGCAGGACGGAAGTGCTGGGACTTGTCTGTTTTTTTTCAACAACCATTTAATTCAATATTATGATTACCAAAGTATTACATACATAATCATGAACTATGGTGTCATTATCACTTGTAAGCAGACAGCCGCAGGTTATTTTCTTCTACGTCTTATATGTTTTGATACATCTTTCCATCAATCTATCCTAATGAAAGAATAATAATCAGCAAGTCATTTCAAGTTTTTAAAGTTGTTCTCAGTAAATTCTGCTGTATTCCCTCAACATGTAACAGCATAAGGTTTGGCCATGACCTCCTCTGGTTCCAAACGTGTCTTCACTGATCGCTGTGACGCTAACACTTGATACTCGCAGGCTGACATCATCAGAGCAGTGAGTGGAGAGGGTTACTCAAAGGCCCAGAGCTGCTCCAGAGGCATGTTCCCAGGAATGTCCATGAGATCATCCCAAAATCATACAAGAGCAGGGCGAGTCATCGTGCCCCGTGTCTGTGGAGTTGGGAGGTGTCTGGGGAGAGGGAGGAAGTGGGTCAGAGGATACAGAGCTGCACGTGTTCCATGTCAGGTATATTTTCAGGTTGTGTGTATTTTCAGGCTGTTTCAGGCTGTGTGAATCTCTCTACATAAAAGGATTGGGAACTGCAATGTTTTAGTATTCTAGCATTTTTTTTTATATTGCTGTAACTTTGAGCTTTACAGCTGGGGGACCTTGACTAACATTTACCATAAATGCCACATATTATTTGTCTAATCTTATAAAAGTAACAGTTGTTGTGATTAAAGGTATATGTGAGGATTTCCGGGTGGATCATCAAGACTATTGGTTCTCAAAATTGTCAATCATTCTCATGTTTTAATCTCTCTGTGAAGCACTTTGGTCCTCCTGGTGTTGTTGTAAAGTGCTATACAAATAAACTTTGATTGATTGATTCTGGTGATACATGCTCGTCAAAAAAGACCAGAGAGTTTTGTTCCAAAAGTGCATGGAGAAGGCTGTTTTTTTTTCTAAAATTTGGGAAAATCCTCTGTCTTCACATGACTACATGAAAACATGTATCCTTTCTACTTCTAATAATGAGCCCTATGTGTCACTTTTTGATGCTTTGGGCTGAGTGAAAGTGCTCTTAGTTTCACTTTCCTGAATGAAAAAGCGAATCTAAAAATGTGACCGCATATGGATAAGGTTTGTTCAACTACGTTTGAAATAAAACACAGATTGTAAGTCAAGTTGCATTATGGAGTCTAACATGAGCACTATCCTTTTCCTTTTCCTTCTTTATCTGTCATTGTGACTTCAGCTATTGCCTGTTCATTGCTATCCCATTGTCTGTTTTATTGCGAAATGTTGGGACCCCTGAATCCTCTTTCCTCACCTGTGGACTCTCTACCTCAGCCCAGACTCATTGCCTCATTGCCATATCTACTCATTGCCTCAGCCTCAACCCAGACTCACCACCTCAGCCTTGGATCTATAGCCTGTACGTCCATCAATATTGGCCACTTTTCCCACTTTTGTCCCACTAAGCTTTAGAGTTATTCCTTTCACTGTCCGTAAAAGGGTTAAAGGATAGTGATGATCCAGGACATTTAAGGACATTGGTCATCCCGCTCCCTAAGGACCAATGGCTTCAATGTGTTTTTCTTCTTTTCTTTTTTTTTTTTTGCATTTCTGGGTCCAAACTGATCTGTTGTTTGCAAATCGACAACTTTGTAAAGACCTCCGAGACGACATGCTGTTGTGATTTAGGGCTATACAAAAATAAAATTGAAATACAGTTAGTCAGTGTAAGTGACAAACTATGAGTGACAACTGAAATCGTAGTATTTGCACGCCTGTATCCGACATACACCGAGGTGGGCTTTCCTTTATGACGCCTGTCTTGTTGAATTATCCGCTTTGGCGCACTCGGCTCACATTTCTGAGCAACAGCAGTGGGTCTCCGCGGTGCGTCGGCTCACGGGACTCCCCATTCACTCCCTCTCTCTATCCCCCCCTCCCTCCCTCCTCTCCCATCTCTCCTCTCCCCTCCACGCTCTCTCTCTTGTCTAAAGCAAAAGGGGCCGGCCACTGTCTCGCACTCACAACGTCAGAGGCGGCTTAGTTTATTTAAACCTGAGTCAAGACTGAGGCAAAGTTTTCTCAGCCGGCACCGCGTTGCCTAGAAGCAGTGGCAGCAGGACTATAACAACTTTTCAACTTTACGCACGCACTTTTGAGAGGACGCTTGCCTGCACTGCCTCTGCTCCTGTCATCAGTTTGTCTCCATCTAGAAGCGATATCCACTCTGAGAATGCCGCAGACTGTGACGCTAATGGGACCTTCTCCTTGGGGGTTTCGGCTCGTGGGAGGACGGGATTTCAGTACCCCCTTGACCGTGTCCAGGGTAAGTCATGGCACCGGCGCGAAAGGCACTGTCATTCATTGGATGTAGTAATGTGGGGAGAAAGATCAAGTCTCTGTCGCGTTCTTATGCTGAGTGTCACGTTTATTTTTTTTATTTTTTTATTTTCAGCCAATGCTTATCTGTTTGTGTTTGTGGTGTACGTGGGTGTTGCCAAGTTCAACTTTTACGCACTTGATGATGCTAAGCAATACCAATGCTCAACTGTTTTATTTACAAATGCATGCAATGGATCTGTTTACCACTATGTAATATGTGTTTATACATGTCCAAAAGACCAAAATAACTCAAATTGACAAGAAAAATACACCTAAATGTGTGTATTATTTTTAGGTTAACAATATTGTGGTCAATGAGAAAACAGCAATTTCTGTTGATGGAATGATTAGATATATGGGGCCGTTTTTTTGTTGTATTAATGTAATTAATTAATAGTAATTATTATTTTGTAATTGTATTTATGATAAAGAAGTGAATGAATAACACAAATGTATATTGTTTATAATAAGGCTTGAAAACATATACATCCAAGTGAGTCACTATATGACGAAATGGGCTCAAAGCTGATTGGCTGGAGCTGGGTTAATCCCTGATTCACATGTGTGTGGGAAAAAGCTTCCATTTGGTTGTGCAAATGATCCGTCAAAGGCTTTGTGAGGATCAAGTTTGTTTGATTCATCCCAGTCCTGGTCTGTATCAGCAATTTCCCTGATGAGTTGGTTATTAAATCTATTTTTCATCATTATAACAACGTTTATTTATAGGGACCTTTTAAAACTCTCAAAATCACCTAACAATCAACACGAATGTAATCAAAACTCAAATCAATCTTCAACTCATATTTGAATCAACATAATATTCACAATCCAAGTATTCTATAGCACTTCATTAATACTTTGGCAAGCACCAGAAAAGTTCTGCTGCAGGCAAACTTTCCAACTTCATAAAATCCCACTTCAATCTCGGTCCTTCACATTTACAGCCGCGTTAACACCAGTAAACAGCACGTGCAGTTTTCCCCCCTTTGGCTAATAATGTTATAAGGTGTGGTTGAATGTCCGAAAATCTCTTGTGAACTTCCATGACCCTTTGAATTTGAAATATAGGGCTCTAAAAAGTCAAAGCTCTGGAAGGGGATAGCAGTAGCCAATAGTTTATGATGTCCAGAGTAAACATTGGACGTCTCTGCAGCTCTGCTCCAGGACAAAGCAGAGAGAGAGAGAGAGAGAGAGAGAGAGAGAGAGAGAGAGAGAGCGAGAAAGACATTTGTTTTTCATTGGAGATGCTGAGAGAATCCAGGTGTTGCTCTATATCCCACCATGCACCAAACTGGCTTTTAACTGCAGCCACTTCAAAACCAGAGGTGTAATTTATGGATTTACGGTTGTGGAGAATTGGACAAAAAGCTGCAGAGGTCACATCAAGTCAGTTTTTATGCCAAGGCTGTCGCTAAATACTCCCTCGAGCCTGTGACGCCGCGCTGACAGGGCGGTGAGCAACTGTTATAGTCACCGCTACGATAAGTGAAAAATGCAGAATATAGAAGGCATTTTCTTGTGATTTTGACAATGATAGTCTAATCTGTCAGGGTAAGTAGGTATTGGCTTTAAAGCTGGGGTGTACACTACCTAATTCCAAACCACAATAATTGAACGTTATAATCCAATTTGATGTAACTATAGTTTCTTGCTCTAAAAACAGATTGGTTCTAGCTCTCGTTTCATAATAACATATTTTTTGGGCTTCTGTCACAGCTTTTTTCTTACAGAACAGTAAATAAGTAAGGACCACCCTCACTTAGCCAAACAGCTCTCATTCCAAAGTGTCAAATAGTGACTCATTTCTTACCAGAATGCAAACGTAGTATGTTTTCTTAAGATTTAGATGGCATGTTGTGGTCTGATTTGTTCACGTTTGGATTTCACCAGAATTGTTTGGATAAATAACGTATAGTAGGTTTGAAATTTAAGTCAGATACAGCAGCTTTAAGGTGTGTTTCGTAATTGCTTGGTCTTCTGTATGTACAGTATATAGCTTGAACCTGAATGACAAATACAAATTAAAGCTGCACTAACTGACTTTATTTTTGCATTCATTACGAAAATGCTATCCATGTCCATGCAGTGCATTGGAATAGACGTCATTTTGAAGGAAAAGTAGCGCAGATTTGTGCTAGCGTGACATTATATTTTAGATCGAGTTTTGATGAAACAAGGAAGAGAATGTGTTTCGGGTTTCAGATTGTGACCAATCACAGCGGACCACTGGCCCCCGCTTTTGTGAGAAATCTACAGGTCTGTTAGCATAGACGGCTGAGTTAGCACAACAAGCCGAGGAGTTAACTTGAAACTTCCGTGTCTTTGTCACCGGTTACTGCTTACACAGCGAGACAGCCATCCAAAAGAAAGTCCCGTTCCTCCGCGCTTCCCGGTTCTATCGTTCTATGGTCACGCCATCCATGTGCAAATCCATATCCATGTATTATCCATATTGGGAGACGCTAGCTCCGTCCCAACAGTGGGTGTGTGTGGGGGGCGATAGCTTCGTGGGTGCGGGGAGGGGAGCAGAAAGAGAGAGGCCAGCGAGTCCGCGGCTTCAAAATCCCAAAGTCAGTTAGTGCAGCTTTAATATGCTCATTCCATAGAACAACAGTAAATGTTTTATACTGCAAAAAAATATACAAACATGTCAATGGTGGTCTATGGTATATTGGAGGATTCCAGGTGGATTCAAGTCCGGGTGGATTCTACTTCCGGGTGGATCATACGACTATTGGTCCTCCTAATTGTCATTCAATCTGGTGATACGTGTTCGTCAAACAAGACCAGACAGTTTTTTCAAAAAGTGGAGAGGGTGGGAAAACCTCCTAAAATATACTATGGTTTTTTCTAGTTTTAAGTGAGTCGTTCTCATGTGTTTGTTCCATTAGCAAAACCTTTTGAAAGACAGCTAGTCAAAATGATATTAGATAAGTCATCACATTATGCAGAACCTTCCCAGCTCCCTCCAGGCCTCGAGACATCATTTCAGTGACTATATTTGTGCTGGTAGACGTTGGTAGTTGTTGAGTTCTTAATATTTTTGAATACAATAGCATATCTACTGTAAATCATTATTACCACATGCTCAATACCTACAGTATATGGAGCATTGCGGCAGTGGGGTCGCCTCTCCACAGAATCGACCTCTAACTTGCAGTGATTTCAGTGATATTGTATGAGAACTTGTCAAGTCAAGTCAAGGCATTGAAACAGCACACAATGGAGGAATACGTTTTACAATTTCTCAAACCTTTTTTGTTTGTCTGCTGAGAATGCAACAGTGTAATTGCATGTGGTCTTTTCTTGGGTAAACGTTGAGCAAGTTTTCACAATATATAAACCTCTTTCCAGCGTTCATTATGCTTTCTTTGTAGGTTGGTCTAACGCAATGTAAACAGAAATGATTTTGCATTCATTTGCCATAATTAAACCATTATCGTCATTATTATTGTTTTTATTACGTCCAAAATGATCATATTTAGTGCTGTCCATGTTAGCTATAACCCAGCCCTGACCCCTACCAAGCCCTGCATTCATTACAACAGCTGACGTTGGAAAAACATCTATTTACACTTGGACCGACTCTTGCATTTCTCACTGATTACGACTCGCATTAAACAAATTACAAAGTTCAGATCAGAGGTAGCAGTAAAAACAGTTTACATTGATTATCTCATTGTTGACATAAATAAACCCAAATGTTGGCTTGCATTGCAGAAGGGAAGCAGATGGAAGACGCTCACACCATTATCGAAATACAACATCGTAAACGCATTCACCTTTTTTTCTAATTCCAAACTTCATTGTCCTGCTGACGTCAACGCTTCAAGACAAGAAAGAATCTCCACTTTTTGCCAAACACAATAACTATTTTACTATGGGAGCCAATTGTTCGGATTTATGGGTAAATAAGTCAAAATTAGCTTCAGGAAATGGTCACGGACAGCTATTGTGAAGAGCGTTAGTCCCGCTGGATCCTGCCGAATCTAATTTAGTGCTACACGCAGCAGTGGCATCCTTCACGCTGTAATTTATCACTTGCAGCGTTTTGGTTTCACTGAGGCTGCACAAAACGGTAATAAAATGTCTGTGAATGAGATATAAGAGAAAAGTAGTAGTGTGTGTCAGCAGGAATAATGTAACAGGCTTATATATACGGTTAGTTGAGGCTGACTAGGGCTGGCCGGATTGTACATTAGAAGTGAAGAGCCCAAACTTTTCAGGCCCCCAACATACACATAGAGAAGACCCCGACTACAGGATAAAATGTAAATGTTAAATCCAATGTAATGTTGTTTGTTTTGAGTAATGTAATGTTCTAGTTTGAGCTACTTCCACATATAATCATGTTACTATAATAGGGTTAGCTATAGTAATTTTAAACATTCATCGACCCCCAGCGTAGCGGCCTTTTCTTTAAGCACTGTTATAGATTAATAAAAGGCACAACATAAAATGAGATGATAGAAATGCATGTCTAATGTTGCAAATTGCTCCCATTTTGTGTGCTACGATAAGATAATACGAAAAACATAATACCCGGGTTGGTGCTTTGTGAATTGGGTGGCAGCTCTGATTGGCATCCCCCTGACTGAAATGAAATGAAATGAAACTTTCCCAAGTCTCTCTCGCCACAACCTGTCTCTACAGCTGATGCCCCTCCATAGATCTAACCCAAAACCTAAAAATATGCTCACATATACTAACTTAGAATGAACTATACGGACTACAGTGATGACAGAAGACTGTTGCACACAGAAAACACTGTGGTCCTTTAAACATGTCAATAAAGAAATAAATCCAGACATATATTTTACAATATTTTTTACTTGAAACTTGAATCTGATTTAACAATGTATTACTGATACCATAATGACATATGCTATTTAGACTGCAGTGTCAAGTGTCAAGTGAAGTTAAAGAAAAACCATGAAAAACAGT